AATGAGCCAAGTAAAATTTAGGTTAAAAATGTCTAACAACAAACACTTAATGTTTCGCTTGTTACAATATCATATTTATCATATTGTCATATTGCAATTGCCACACGATTACTGCCATACTGTCAGTGGCGGAGCCAAGATCTAGCACGAGTGGGTGCAAAATAAAGGAAAAGGTACGTATCTAGCAGTTCCCGGAGATGAAGACATTTAAATAAACATGTCTCACGAGCATTTTGTCGAACACATAGTGTCCAATAACATAGATAGTACTTCTGTATAGTGGTCTCCTTCCCCTGATTGAAGACATAACAATCTTAAATAAAGACTATTTCTAGTGCTCTGCCCCTCCCCTATTCTTCTTTCTGCTCTCTGCCTCTGTAGTGCTCTCTCCCTCCCCTGTACTTTTTCTTTCTTTTTTTGAAGTTTGCTTGTACTCCACATATATATCTATGAAATATATTTCAAAAAGGGAGTGACTGCAATTGCAGTCATTTGCTCCCATGTGGCTCCGCCACTGCATACTGTCATCCATCGTTGTTGGCCACAAGAGTGCGACCGTCGATGCTGATCGGTGATTGACCGACGATTAACTGATCACAATGTCATTTTATACCGTTATAATGAATCAACGCAAATCGTGTGCCTTTTTCGTTGAACGCTAGGCCTCATGTGTCAAATAACTTGTTGTGCAAGAAGTTTTCAAGATGAACTCTTCTAGGGTTTATTGTTTTCCTATTTAAGCCGTGCCATGCCTCTGCAAGGTCTCGAAGAAGGTGTCACAAGCGAATGAAGATGACTCAAACAAGGTTTGGGTTACGTAAGGTAGATTTTGTCATTAGAGGAGACGTTCTATTGTTTGTGATCGGTGCAATATATTACGGTAGTTTAGTGAAGGGCTTTACACGGACGTGAGTCCTTCAAACGTATGAATATTGCTTCGAACTGCGTAAACAATTCTTTGTGTCGTTTACTGCTTTAGGTTTTTGCTTGTGTGTGCAAGCTTGTGATAGAGAAGATGATTGCCTGAAATATTTTCATTGGCTAGCTAATTCGCTTGCCTGAAATATTTTCATTCTCTATTTTCTGTTTCTCTTTCTTTTCAGATTACATACCCTTTGGATATTTCAAACACAAACGACAACCGGCGAAGCTTGGTGTACAGAGATTACGACTTCAACATCACCCTGTTCTGGTCGCCCTATTTGGTCAAGACAGGGGTAACATATTCTGAAAGCAACAAGAACAACCCCTTCGACCTTTACCTGGACGAATTCGACGAATCTTGGACCACGAAAATCAAAGATTTCGACTACGTGATAATCAACGCCGGCCACTGGTTTTTCAGACCAACCAGGTTTTACCTGGAGGGAAAACTCGTGGGCTGCCTTTACTGCTGGGATCCCAATGTCACCCAACTGACCAGTGGCTTCAGCTACCGGCGCGCTGTAAAGACCGCGTTCCGGGCTGTCAAGAACAACTTCAAGGGCGTCGCGTTTCTGAGAACCTTTACGCCACAACACTACGAAAACGGGCCTTGGGATAACGGCGGAGAATGCGCGAGGACTGAGCCGTTTAGGAGGAACGACTCGGCGGCTCTTGCTCATCAGTTTAAGTCTGACATATATGATATTCAGAGAGAGGAGTTTGGGGTTGCAGAAGAGGAAGGGAGAAGGAATAGTAATGGGGTGGTGAGGTTAAGGTTGTTTGATGTAACTCAGGCGATGTTGTTGAGACCGGACGGGCACCCTAACCGGTACGGCCACCCCCAAAACCCCAACATCACTTATCACAACGACTGTATCCATTGGTGTTTGCCTGGGCCCATTGATACGTGGGGCGATTTCTTCATGGAGTTGCTGAAGAGGGAGGGGACCCAAGATAGAGGACCATCAACTCGATGACATCTTTTGATCTCTCTTCTCTTTCTTTACTTGTAGTTTGTGCCTAACCACTGTTTGTTTGAGGTACTTCTCTATACTTGTAAGCTAGTTAAAATTGTTGATGGATTGCTTCCCAAGGATTTTGTTCCTCCATTTTTGGCTATTTACCGCGTAAATCCCCGTTTTCGTTGTGTTGGATTGCTTCCCAAAATACTTTGACCATGGAGTTTGAGCTTGGACCTCCATTCCTCTTTGCGTTGAGAGCAGAATGAACCACAACACAACAACATGGCTATTTGCTCGTGGTCTCACAGATGACGCCAAAATAAATTATTTGGACTGGAGTATCGCTCTTAGCCGGGTAAGAATAATAAACTAGTCTAACAACTGTTTATAAGTTGTTTTTGTAAGCTGATTACAAGCTTTTCTATGCTTATAAGCTGACTCATAAACAATTTATAAGACATGAAAAATAGGCAGGTTTTACCTATTTATTTTTAACTTAGTTTTTTCAAAGTTATGTTCTGACAAGATTATTTAGAAAACTATTTCTCACAACTTATGAATATTGTCAAATGACTTGTAAGAAAATCATCATAAATAGAAGTAAAATATAGAGAAAGTACTAAAATAAAAAGTCCATGTTTTTATCCTCAAAATAGAAGTTTACACTATAAAATGTGTCACTATATTTAGACATTGTATAATACTTTTTTTAAGATTATATATTGGTATGATTGACATTCTATATGCATTTAAGTTATGTTTTCCATTACTTATCTTTTTAGTATATATTTTACATTTTTGCTCTTATTTTAGTCTTTTTCACATAACTTATCTATCATTTAAGTTATTATTTACTTTAGCGAAAGAATATTTAACTTATACGTAATTCATAATGCTTATCATGCCCAACAATAAGCCAATAAGTACTAGCACGGAGAAACATCACATTATATCATCAAAATGAATTTATAAGAGTTCTTAAAGTTGTCCTAATTAGCTTTGGTACCATGATACAATTTGAGAACTTTAATTAGTTTTGGTACTATAATACAATTTGATAATAATTGATCTTATTGAATAATGAAGGATAACTCCCTATATATGGGGATTAAAAGAGAGTATTATAATCCAAGTAGGAGAAGAATTATAGTCACAATATAATAATGACATAGGCAAATAAGGAAGATAATTAATGATCAATATTTATTTCCTTTTACAATGAACCAATACAACCAAAAACATTAGCTTAAGAAAAGTAATACTTCACGTGGTATAAAGTTCTCAGTCAAGGAATCACATCTCAGTAGTCACGAGAACAAAACTAAAATATGAGTAAAGTATAGATCGATATTAGATAATATATCAAAATAAAAGTTTCATACTTTTGTTTCTAAAATAGGAATGAAAATACATATATAATTCCAATCATCCCTGATGGGTATATTACACACCCAGGTGCACTCTTCGGTACCGAGGCTATTACGTATAATTAACTGTCTGGCGACCAACTAGTGGTGTACTGGTTCGAAATCAGGTCAGACGTGACCGACCATAGTTTCCGTCGGAATGAGCTTGACAGATGTTTCGTTACTGGTGTTCGGTGACTGGTCAAACGTAGCCTGTGATACGGTGACCTGTCATAGTTTTGATCTTATAGAATGGATGTTCCAATAATATTTTGGGAATGCTGCTGGGTGACCTCTCGACCCTGAGGTTGGGTGACCAGTCACGGTTTTGGTCATTCAAAATGAGCATCGTAGCTACTTTTGGAAATTGTACTGGCTAACCGGTCACCCCCGGGCAGTGATTGGGAGACCGATTATGTGTTTGAAGCTTTGTCAGAAAAAATAAGAAACAAAGTTTTAGGTTGCAGCCAATTTGACTGATCATACTTTTCGAATATGGCCAGGGGATTACGATGAGGAGTGTCGCCGCCAACAAACCCTAGTAGTTGAAGAATCTGTGTGGGACCTACCCCCGTCATTCAAAAGATCATTGCAAAAAAGTCCTTTGGCTTTACACTAGATATGTTGTCAATCATAATATCGTGATTATGTGTTGGTTGATGTCGTCTCCTAGCTTGTATGTAAGTGAGCAACTTTCATGCACCTACATATCTTCTTGTACTCTATAATAACTTGTGATAGAGGAAGGAGAGGGACATTCAATCATATTCCCACAAAAACGAACTACACTCTTGAAAGAGGAAGAGAGTAAGAAATATATTCAGATTCGAGAGATATAACTCGGTCTAAGTCATACTTTGTGTCTTATTTACTTTAATATTTGAAAGTACCAAAAAGGCCTAAAACATTGAAAATATATTAAAATAAGACTTTCATATTTTAAAATAGGACTTAAAATGCATTTACATTACCAAACATGATCATGTACATTACCAAAAAGTATAGCAATGTGCACATGTAGAGTGCCACATTACAATCACATTACCACAGTGTGAAGTCTTATTTCGAAAAGAAACCTAAAAGTCCTATTTTGGTACTTTTTTCTATGTTTTAGTCCTATTTAGGTGAATTCTATTATGTAGTGTTTGGCAACTAGGATTTCATTTCAATTCATGCATTTCAATTCCAAAATTTGAAATCCTGAATTTCAAATGACAAGAGGATGCACATGGATTTAAAATTAAGCTTTGTTATGAATGAGAAGAATTTGATTCAAATCCAAATTCAAAATTTGTAAGTTTTCCAAACATGTAATTTGAGCCAAATCCAGATTTGAAATCCAAATCCATGTTCCTAAATATATCATTAATTTTTTTTTTGCAAAACTTTGATTTTACTTTCCAAAAAACCCAATTCAGTCATTTAAGTTTTTGGATCACAAACGTTAGATTCGAAACCAAATATTGATAAAATACAAAAATTTACCTGATATGTAAAGTAATGGTTTCAAATAATTAAAAAATAAAAACGCAAGTATACAAATAATAAATTATACATTTTGTGAATCATTTATTTGTGACTTTAGATTAGTGGCCCATATAGTAATCATTTATTTGTGATTTTAACATTTCTCTCTTGAGATTATTGGCCCCGTATAGTAATTGTTTAATAATTAGGAGAGTAGTTGTACAAATAAGTAAAGAGTGCTACTAGTGGAATTTCTTTTGAGATTTTCAGCGCTAATTTTCCGCCATAGTTTTTGCCATATTCTGATACTTCATCTTCTTCCATGGAATTTCTTCCCCCCGGAAAGAAACACAGCAGCAACAACAAGACTCATTCCAAAATAATCCTGCCGCTGTCCCTGACCGTCGTCTTCCTCACCGCCTTCCCCCTCTACTACACCTTCAGTAGAGCCCCGAGCGTCGACGAACTCGATCTATACCCTCCCTCCCACGACGGCCGAATCGGGCCAGATCTGGGCAGAAACATCAAGGCCGCGGCCGAGATCGTCGACAGATGCGATATTTCCACCGGCGATTGGGTTCCCGACCCGGGCGCCGCCCCCTTTTACAGCAACGAGACTTGCTGGGGGATTCAGGAGCACCAGAATTGCATGAAGTTCGGGCGGCCCGACGATGGCTACTTGAGGTGGCGGTGGAAGCCGGACGGCTGCGACCTGCCCGTTTTTGACCCGGTCGAGTTCCTGGAACTCGTCAGGGGCAAGGCTTTGGCCTTTGTGGGCGATTCAATCGCCAGAAATCATATGCAATCACTGGTCTGCCTCTTGTCAAGGGTATGTCCATATTATTTCCTCCTCTTCTTCTTCTCCTTCCCTTCTTTTTGGGAAACATTTTACTTGGATTCAATACTTCGCAGTAGTTTACTTGGATTAATAACTTTTTTCATATTTAGTAAACAAATCCGTTCACACTCTTATGAATTTAGGTAGTGTTTGGAAAGTAAGATTTCATTTCAAATTGTATTTTGCTACGAAAGAGAAGAATTTACCTCAAATCAGAATTTCTTAAGGTTTCCAATCATGGGATTTGAGCTAAATTGTGATTTGGAATCCAAATTTGAATTCCCAAACATACCATTAACGAATTTGGACGAAGAGATTAGATTTAAATGTGGATTTAGTAATCGTTAAGATTATTATCTACAGTTAAGTACTTTCTTGGAAATGATGAAAAGCTCATTAGAGAAGAATTTGATAATCTAATCCATTCATTGAAAATGTAAATTTGGGAGAAATGGTCAAAATGGACACCTTTTAATACGGAGGGGTTATAAAATGTGGGGACGTGTATAAGGAAGGGTGCATTGGAATTGATGCATGTCCGTTGTCGGTAGAATGCACATGGGTCATTGGGTTGTAACGTGAATCTATTGTGGAACTCTTTTTCTTGTATTTTGTGTTTTTGAATTTATAATACCAACAACCATAATTTCTAGGTTGTATTCCGCATTAGCATAATATTGTCGCTTTTAGGTTACTTTTAAAATGGGTTTGTCACCCAACAACAATAATAATAACAATAACAACTGGCAAAGTTTTGTTGACACATATAAGTGTAAACGGATGATACTCGCTCATTTGAAACTTCTCTAGTGTTTCGTTTGTAAAATTGATGGTTTTTATGTCCGAATCCCCCCCTAGACCCCCCATCGCACACCCATCCCAACCCGACTCTTGTGGCCCCACCCTAGACCGTTTCACTCATCGCTCCAAATGTGTGGTTGTTATGCAATGCTGGGGGCACAAGGGTTGGGCTGGGCTGGGGGTGTAGTTGGAGGCTTAGGGAGGGGATTAAAGGAGGGCAGGAACCATCAATTTTTCATTTGGAATATCGAAAGAGCTCCAAATAAGTGAGTGTCATCCATTGACACTAGATACGAGGGTCAACGGAACCTTGCCGCAACAACATTAACACGAATTAACACAAGTGGTTTGATATATTTTAAACATTTTGAATTAAATATGGAGAAATGTCACGGAGTAAATTGCATATTGTAGTTGCAATCCAACAACAATTTGGTATAATTAGCGCGCCTCAGCGGTGAACGAAAATACTAACCGACATTATTTCGAAACACACTTGACATGGCATTGAATTGAAAATGAGTTTACAAATCATCCCGTTTTTCCCTTAAAAAAATCATCTCCCATTCAAAATAATATGGCATGGGACAAGTTTTCAAAATATGAGAACCAAAAATCTTGGATGGTACTTTGATTACTCAAATGTTAAACTAATCAAGTAATTATTAAATTCTGTTTTTTATTTTCAATATTTTTAATTCTTGCTCTATTTGTTCCAAAATAAGATTCCCATTTGATTGTTTGTGATTCTCAATGTGAGACCAAGACGATTGATATCAGTATTTATACGTTAGTAAATTTTATACGTTTATAAATATTTATAATATCAGCATTTACATTATAACTTTTATTCATTAATTTTTTTCCCAAATGTTACGGTCAAAGTTTCTATTTTGGCCCCAAATAATCAAAAAAGAATCTTTTTTGGGATGAAGAGAGTATTTCTTTGAACGACTTAAACTAACATTTTAAATTATTTATTGCAACATATGGAGTAATTTATAATATTTTTGATTGATCATTTAACAAAATAAAATAGTCTGTCTCTCATTGTTTTGTAGATTTTTTAATATGATTTCCTAAATAATTTGTTTTGAACTTTAAACATTCAATTTATTTTATTTGAAAATAACTCAATTATAAAATGGATAAAAATATGGATACCATCACTGAACTCTGTGATATGAATTGTACCTATTCCATGTTCACTATAGAATGTTATTTACTGTATTTACCACGTAGTGTTAACTTTCAAGTAATGAAAGATTTTTCCTTTTCCCTAAAAAAGGATAATATATGATCACCATATTTGTTAGAAGAGAAATGAGTTTTAAACTTGAATATTTTCAATATCTGATTCCTGTGACTTGAACAAAGCATGTTTACTGTTCACGTGTAAAAAAAGATTTGTTTTGGGCTATATGGAGTGTACTTTAATTATCAACAATGTCCTTATCTGGGCAAAGCAACTCTTTTGAAGAAAGAAACCCATTACTGAAGTTTGATAAGAAGTTCATAAATCAGTATAAACACTTTTGGCAATGTTTTCATTCTTTTTTTTTTCAGGTTACATATCCTCTGGATGTTTCAAACACAAACGACGACAACCGGAAACGCTTTGTGTACAGAGACTACGACTTCAACATCACAATGTTCTGGTCCCCCTATTTGGTCAAGACAGGGGTAACATTTTCGGAAATCAACGAAAACCCCTTCAACCTTTACCTGGACGAATTCGACGAATCTTGGACTACAAAAATTAAAGATTTCGACTATGTGATAATCAATGCCGGCCACTGGTTCTTCAGGCCAACCAGTTTTTTCCTAGAGGGAAAGCCCGTGGGCTGCCTTTACTGCTCAGATCCCAACGTCACCCACTTGACTAGTGCTTTTAGCTACCGGCGGGCTCTAAAGACTGCATTTCGGGCAATCAATAGCCCGCAAAACAATTTCAAGGGCGTCGCGTTCCTAAGGACCTTTGCACCGCAGCACTTTGAAAATGGGCCTTGGGATAAGGGTGGAGAATGCGCGAGGACTGAGCCGTTTAAGAGGAACGACACGGCGGCTCTTGCTGAGTTCAAGTTTGATTCTTATGATATTCAGAGGGAGGAGTTTGGGTTTGCCGAAGAGGAAGGGAGACGAAATGGGGTGAGGTTAAGATGGTTTGATGTAACTCAGGCGATGCTGTTGAGACCGGACGGGCATCCTAACAAGTACGGGCACTGGCAAAACCCCAACAGGACGTACTACAACGACTGCGTGCATTGGTGTTTGCCGGGGCCCATTGATACGTGGGGCGATTTCTTCATGGAGTTGCTGAAGAGGGAGATCCAAGGTAGAACTTCAAGGTGACTTTTGTGCTTCTTCTGTTTTGATCTCTTTCTTTGGTTGTGCATATATAGTGATATTGCTTTTATTGGACTGCACTTTTTTCATTGTGAGTTTGTGATCCAATCATCTGCTACACCCTATTCGTTTGTGTTCGGTTCTAAGGGGAGAAGACGGGAGGAGAAGATGGAAGAATTTTTACCTCTTTGTCTCATTGTATTTTTTCACTCTATTTTTTAAGTCCTTTTTATCAAACTTTAGGCTAAACTCCACTATGCACACAATTGATCTTTCAAGTTTTAAAAATTCATAAATAGTCTTTCAACTTTATGAGTTATACACGATAGGTACTTCAAGTTTCAAAAATCCATAAATGATTCTTCAAGTACACGTTAGTCCTCCAGATAAACGTTAAATTCTAAATGGAGTACTAGCTCCATATAATACGGAGTAGCCGTACCTTTTAGAATTTACTCGTATTACATGGAACTAGTATTTAATTTAGCTTTTAATGTACTCAAAATCAAACAATTTTGTCCCTGTAGATTTTTTTTTCCAATCAAGTCCTTTTCTTCACTGCCTCTTATATATTAACCCCAAATTCTTAGTAATGACGTGAAAAAGAGTGCATAAATGGAATTATGATGATGGCTGGTGTCGTGGCAAAAATATGTGGCCGGCAATGGCATGTTAGCAACATAATTAATTGGGTTAACCATGCATATATATATATATATATATATATATATATATATATATATATATATATATCCATCTTTTTATAACCAAAACATTCACATCAGTTTCATTAATTATACGTATAACCAATCTTTTTTATTATTCCATGGAGGAGCTACCTTCCCGGAAAATTAGCTCTCCGGTCGTCCAAAAATGTCCTAAACTACCGCTTGTTATTCTGTTCGTCTCCTTAATATCAGCAACAACCTTAACCTTTGTCCCTCTGCTTCGCCCTATATATCCCGGCCGCCGTCTGCCGCCGTACCGTGCCGCACGGGAAGCTCTGCCGGGGGATACAGAATGCGATCTGTTTGCCGGAGAATGGGTTCCGAATCCGGAGGGCCCGTATTACACGAATGACACTTGTTGGGCGATCCACGAGCACCAGAACTGCATGAAATACGGGCGGCCGGACGCGGGGTTCATGAAGTGGCGGTGGAAGCCGCACGGATGTGAGTTGCCGGCGTTTGACCCGGACCGGTTCTTGGACATGGTTAGGAACAAGGCGTTGGCCTTTGTCGGAGACTCTATCGGGAGGAACCATATGCAGTCATTGATATGCCTCTTGTCCCGGGTAACTAACCCAACCTAAATACGGGAGAATTTCGTTTTAGATTAACATTAGCATTTTAAATAAAATTTTAATATTACAGGTTAATTTTGAAAACGTTAACGTTAAATGTTGCATTTGTTACCAAAGCCAACCTCTCTCAGCTCTCTCTCACACAATATATGGCTCAAAATTTTCTAACTTAATTTTGTACGGTTTACAAATCTGCCATATGAGTTAACAATTCAACTTGTCTTACAAAGCTGGTGTAAGATTGTTACACCAATTTTACCTACGGTGCTTCAATCGCAAATTGATTGTTCCTACCCCACCTAGCCCATCTGGTAATCCCCATACAGCCATACCGGACCCATTCTTAGAGCATGAACAATGGCAAGACAAAAATGGAATGCCACACGGTGACATGGAACATTTTAACCAATCAAAAATAGTCCAGTCAGCGTGTGGCAAGTGAATGGAGTGACAAGTTCTACAATGGCAAGTCATTATTTTTTATTACTTTTTTACAATTTTTTATGTTTTTTAAACATAAAAAAAGTATTTTTATTATTTATTTTATTAAAAAATTATTCTACTTTTTTGTACATTTTTTTCATAAAAAATTTTAAAAAAATTTATTTAAAAAAAATAAAAAAAGAAGAATGGAGTGCCACACTCATGCCTCACAAAGCAAGGCATTTTAGCCTTGCCATGCCATGATATGTGTGGAAAAAGCTGATGTGGCAGTGCATGGCATGCCTCTTCCTTGCCATTGCACATGCTCTTAACGCATGCATTCTTGCACCCCTTTCCAATGTTACCATCCAAGTTTTTGTTGACTTTATGGTCAATTTTTGTACTCAAAATTTGGTTGGTGCAATTGAAGGGGGTGCAGGAATGCGTTAGGACCGGGCCGGGTATGAGGGGTTTACCGGAGGTTAGGTGGGATGAGAACAATCCATTTTACAATTGGAGCGCTGTAGGCGCTTCAATTGAATTGGCGTAACAATCTTACACAAATTGGTGTGGTGTAAGATTACATCTCCTCCATTTTAATTGATATTGCTAGAGACTACACTGACCCCAAATTACTTATGATATAAATTTAATATATTTGGGTTCTATTTAATTTGTAGTCTAAAGATGTCACTGCTTGACTAAAAAAATCATAATTGAAATATTTCACATCTTTGTTCTATCATCATCAATCAATTGGAAACTTCTCTTTCTTAAACACAATACTGGCAAAATCATATTTTTAATTACTTGAATCTAAAGACTGTTAAGAAAAGTTCCAATAATAATAATACTACTCTTTAAGACTCCGTTATAAGCCATCATGGTAGAGTACTTTAGAATTCTAAATGGATCATAATCATGACACATATGGCCATGCTTAGCTTAGATTGAGATCAACATTTCTATTCGTTTGATTAACTAACGTTAATATTTTATTTAAATAATTTTTCTAATGATGTATGAAGTACAATTTATTAATTTTGAAAACTTAACGATAAAAACTATCATTGTACAACATTTATAAAACATCGAAGTTAAATAATGCTAAAGTAAATGTCAACCATAATTATTCCCAAAAAAACTTTCTAATTTACTAACTTTTGCAAAAAGGGAGAAAGACCAAAGTATGACCAAAACATTGAAAATATACCAAAATAGGACTTTCATGTTTTTATTCCCGAAATAGGACTACATTACCAAACATGGTCATATACATTACCAAAAAAGTATAGTAATTTGCACATGTACACTGCCACATTACCACAGTGCAAAGTCTTATTCCGGGAAAAAAAACATGAAAGTCCTATTTTGGTACTTTTCTCTATGTTTTAGTCCTATTTAGGATGATTTCTATTGCAAAAACGAAAGGAGAATATGGACAAAGTTAGGGAGTAAATGTTTATAATCTATTTGGATAAGAAAGAAATTATGGAGTATATATGTGTTTACAAATTGGAAAGTTTTGGTAATTGATGGTAGTCCTTTATAGTTTTGTATGAAGTCTTAACTTTTATAGATCAGTGTGTATGTTTTAGGTTGAGTATCCAATTGATGTTTCAACATCTAAAGACGAAAATTTCAAGCAATGGAAGTACACCACATTCAACTTCACCATTGCAACATTTTGGTCACCTTTTTTGGTGAGGGCCAAAGAGGCCGACTCCGACGGTCCGACTCACACCGGCTTGTTCAATCTCTACCTAGACGAGGCCAACGAAGATTGGACAACTCCGATCGAGAAGTTCGACTTCGTCATCTTAAACGCCGGCCATTGGTTCTATCGCCCGGGAATTTACCTTGAGAACAACTCTCAAATCGGGTGTCGGTACTGTTTGATCGACAACCTGACCGACCTCCCGATGACTTACGGGTATCAAAAGGCACTCAAGACTGCTTTTAAAGCCATAAACGACTTAAAGAAGTACAAGGGTGTAACGTTTTTGAGAACTTTCACACCGTCACACTTCGAAGGTGGGGATTGGAATAATGGTGGGAATTGTCTAAGACAAAAACCTCTTAGGGGCAATGAAATATTTTTGGAGGGTGTAAATTTGGAAATGTATTTGACACAAGTTGAGGAATTTAAGGTAGCAGAAAAAGAAGGAAGAACAAAAGGATTAAGGTTTAGGTTGTTGGACGTGACAAGTGCGATGTTATTGAGACCGGATGGTCATCCGAGTCGATACGGGCACGGGCCACAAGAGAATGTGACATTGTACAATGATTGTGTGCATTGGTGTCTCCCTGGTCCAATTGATTCATGGAGTGATTTCTTTCTCCAAATGTTAAAAATGAAAAATTGATTGAGTTTTTTTGAAAGAAAAAAATCTATAAAAACCTAAAAAAGCAAACCATGAATTAAGACTTAGGAGTACTCAAACTCATTTTATTATGTAATGGTGATTGTTTGTGTTTAGCATGTAAAATCAAACTCTGCACAACTTCGATTTTATAAACATAGTTGGAAATATTGTATACAAATTGAATTGAGTCTTTGTATTCGAAAAGTTTAAGACTCTCCAGAATTGAAATTGAATTAGAATTGAAATCCTGTAAAATTAAATTCTAATTCAATTCAAAATCATTTGTTTGGTATAATCAAGAAATTGATATAGAAGTGTACTATAAATCCAAATCTTTTATTTGGTAACACAAAGTTGTATATAGAATTGAAAAGGAATTGTATTTTAGAAATTTCTCGTGGAAGAGTATTTCAAACTCAATTAAAAACCTTAGCTTAAAAGTACAATCGATGTAAAAAAACTTAACAAATTTGATGACAAATAATGCAAATCTACAACACAAGAAGGTAGTGGGAAATTTGGTTTTTCGAGAGGCAATCATAATAGAGAGAGAGAATTGAGAGAGGGTTGAGAAAAGGGCCTGGTTTGGAAGTTGGCTTTCATTTGTTGATCGTTTTGAATTTCAAATTTTAAAGTTTATATTTTTAAAATTTTAAATTTTAAACCTTTTAATTTTAAAGTTTTAATTTTGAATATTTTCCCATGTGTGAATGCAAACACTCTATCATTGACTATGAGACTCATCCAATATTCCTAGTCTCACGTTAATACTTGATTATGAATATTCAAAAATATGTTTGTCATTGTTTCGTGATGTTAGTCACATCGGAAGACTATATTTAATAAACATCTTCAAATAATAAATCTAAGAATGTAATAAATGATTTTTGTAAACTTCTTATAAATGACTTTTCATGATAATACAATAAAAATTTGATTGCCCATTAAGGTACAACTCCAACAAATGGATGCGTAGTAGGATTAAGAAGCTTAGAAATCTATAAATATCTCATGAGGGATTCAAATAAGAGGAAGTCTTTTATTCCATTCTTGTGTTCAATATTTTTGTCTCTTATTTCGTAATTCTTGATGTGAGAAATATATTCGGTGGAATTAAAGTTCCATCATGGGCAATACCATTAAATTTTTTTTCAGCATTCAGTTTTAACCTTTTTTATTTAATTCAGTAGCATTGTTAATATGTTGATCACTGCTTCT